TCTCATATATCATGGTATCCCCAACAAACTGAACAAGCAAAACAGTATGTGAATCACCGTCACATATACAATAGTTGCGCAAATGTTTGATGCGCATGTCTTCATTGTACCTTTCGTGTGGTTCCACAACTGGTGACATTAAAGTGGAAATAAGCAAAGTAGTCTTCATTGTCATAGGGTTTGCAGGCCGGGTCTCTTAGAGAGAGTTCACCGGGATCAAGATGTGGTACCGATTCCAGTTTGGGAAGTACCACAGTAATCGTACCATTAGAAAAACACTCTGGCACAACAATAAAGAAACTCACAATTATAAAATGGCAACAAGACATTATCAGGACAGTGATGCAAAATACAAACCAACCTGACAATTTTACAAAAAAGGGGCAGGCAAGAGAGAACTCTCTGATACTCCAGTTATTCAAGGAATCGTAAATTTCCACATCAAGTCTTCCCATGATTCCAGCCAACTGAACAGACTTGAAAATTAAGGGTATAAAAACAGTCAATGGAATTAAGAAGATGGTAGCCAATTGTCTATAGATATTATTAGAAAACTTCTATTTGTTGTGTTATACAGAGAAGAAAAAATGGGTTTGAAATACAACTAATTTTGAATAACTAAATAAATAAATAAAACTCAACTGTTCTAATATGTGTGGGCATCACTTATGACTGGTAAACTATACTGTAGTAAGCGTAACTAATTACTAGTGCAACCCAGGAAATCTGAATAATATCTGAATAATACCTCAAAAGCCACAACCGGGGATAGGAATGGCACAATAATGTCAAAATGGGTTTCATTTGAATGATGCTGATATTGCTGCAACATCTTATTATTCAGCTCCATTTGTCCCAGTTTGATCTTTATTTGGGAACTTGGGGTGGTCCCATATTTTACATAAATGTTGAAGTAGTCCTCATAGCAACTTCCTTCTGCTTGTGGAAGGACTGCAGAAAAAGGGATACAAAGTTAAATATCACAACATCTCAGGTATGCACAATTCTGCTCCTAGAGATCTGCCTTCGTGCAGAGTTTACTGCAGCTCCTCCCAGTCAATGGAGCCACAAACACAATGTAAACAACACTTGAGCTGGAAAAAAAGCCATTGCTGATTGGCTGATGAAACCATAAGGCAATATTACCACAATATTATATTTATATACTACCTGGATCACACAAGCTTGCCAAACAGTGACCCCTTGGCACAAAGGGAGATCTCCAGGAGCAGGACTTTGCTCTGCTCTTGTAGCCAACATGCAGAGTTCTCTTAAATAAGTCTAAAGGTCTTACCAATGTCAGCTAAAGAAGCTTCTAGTACTATGGAGCGTGCAAATGCCGTATGTTCAGGCATGATGATGAAACCAAAGACAAGAGGAAGTGTGTAGGTTGTTACATCAAGGCGAAAATTCTGCATTACAGATAAAACCATTTTAAGACAAGGCAAACCATACAAGCTGGGATAACAGCTACATAAACAAATTAAAAGCATACCTTTATTTGGACTTGAGGATCAGAGAAGGGAACCTGGAGAGTAAAGGCTTTGGTGTCGTTGGAAAAGCTGTGCTCATGCAGGACAATGCCTTTATTGATGATCTCCGAGACAGTGAGCAATTCAGAGACAAAGGTGATATTCAGCAGCTCCACATCAGGTAGGAAGTAACCCAGCAATACATCAAACACCTTCTGCTTGTGCTGAGTGTCTGGTCACAAAAACAATTCTCTTGAAAAATGTACAAGTAAAGAAAGCCTTTCTGTCCTAAACGCAACACTCACAGTCTATAACTTGGAGCGGCCATGGTGTCAAAGGGGTGGTGATGGGGAACAAGACCTTATATGAGGTCTTATCCAGGCCCTCCTTCCACAGTAGCTCAAGCATGGGTTCTATGTTGTAACTGACATGGTACTGGTCATTAAGAACATGACTCTGTAATAATAATAAAAAAAAAAAATAAAAAAAAAGTGTTAGACATTATCTTCAAGTTAAATGCAAAACAGTTCAAAACTCAACCTTGTAGTATCCATCAGCAGCCCCAATGGGAATCTCAACAACGATATGGGAATCTGTGATGGCCATGACATGGTTACGGCTGCCCATCTCTTCAGGTGTGAACCTTCTGCCATTAACGCCCAAGTGCACCTCCAGGATTTCAACTTCCGATGACACCAAAGGAGTTATGCGCAGAGGAACGTGCCAATAAATCATCTGACCCACAACAGAAGCTCCATCTTAAGTCAAGTCAAATCAGAGCACAATATGAGTTGTGGAACACCAATATGGCAAAATAACCCAAGTGTGTGTGAATGAAGTCTCACTGATTGGACAGGCAGCTGCTGACTCCACAATAGTCATGACCCAGCGGTCTCGGAACAGGACCACTGATTTGAACACCATCATATCAACATTGTCAACCTAACAAGGAAAAATACTTCAGGCACTAGAGAGAAATTAATGCATCATATATGCTAGCACATAAAACCGTTCATACATTTTGGATAAAGGTTTCGGCCATGTCGAATGGGCTTCGCATGACCAGTCGTGTAGGAGAACTGTAAACACTGTAGCCCATCGCTTGTAGGGCATCTTTATCAAAAGCCTTCTCTCCAGGGGTGTACAGTAGGATTTTCCAAAGTTGCAAGTTAGGTATAACTGTGGGCTGTTAAAGAGGGACAATATCAGTTTTTCTGTATCAAAGATAATCATGAAGTTATCTGTAAAGAAAAAGACCCACTTACCAAAAAAAAAAAAAAAAAGTGGTACTTGCACATGCAAAACTTGCAAATGCTAGGGTAGTTGCCAGGACATTACTATACAGTTGCCAATCTATTTAGCATTGCGAAGTATTTTTTAGTGCATTCTTATACAGTTGCTAGGGAGTTTTTAGTAGTTGGTAGGCCAAAATAGGATCCCACCTTCTCCTTCAGTCTATAGCTGCATTTGGAATCGCATAGCATCTGAGAGGGTACTTTATTTTATAAGGAACTTACTTTGTGACCATAAAAAAATTAAATACAAATCTACACAAAAATATTGGCATTAGTAGTAAACCATCCAGGTATTTCTCACAAACCTTTTCACAAATACCACTACATTGTTTGCAAGTATGCAGATTAAGGCCATGTCCACACGTATGTGGGTATTTTTATAAATGGAGTTTTTCCTTCCGTTTAAAAAAAAAAAAAAACTATCCACATGAAAACGCAAACGCATACTATGAAGCACTGTCAAGAGCATGCCAAACCAACAGGTGGCGATATAATCTCAACCGTAAAGCCATGTTGGCCAATCAGAAGCCTGAAAAAGATTCCAGTAGGCGGAGATAACAGCACAGGCTCCGACATCACAAGCCAAAAAAAAATCTTCACCCTGGCAGGCGTTTTAAAAAATGTTCGGTTCCAGTGAACTGGTGCTGCGTTTGCGTGTGGACGAACGGCCTAACCGCGTAGAAAAAGCTGCGGTTTTAAAAATAACCGCGTTCGTGTGGACAGGGCCTTAGATGCACTGTATGGGATTAAAAAAAAAATAAAATTGTTTTATTATTTGCCAGGTGAAAATCTTCAAGTGTGATTGTTTATAAGAGGAGCAGCACACGCCTCCTTAAAAACACACAATTTTAGATGTCATTCATGTAGTTTAAATTGTGCGGGACACCAGTAAAAATGATGTATACCAAAGCACCAATAAAAACATTTTTATACATACCCACTCTTTTACTGGTTCAATCTTGATTTCTGGTAACGCATTCCTTACGGATACCTGACAGAACATAAACAGGCATGGACAGGCAGGTAGCAATATCACACTTCAACTCCATTGGCACATTAGAACACTAGTCTTGAGTTATTATCCAATTAGATAAGCATTTTCTTTCAAAATGAACAGCCATCAATCCTATAAACTATCCTGCTGCTATTGGTCAAACTTAAACTTTTTTTTTTTTAAGTTAAAAAAATATGACATTCAAAAGAAAATAGGAGAAGTTACTTGCCTCCATGAAGTTCGTCTCACACAAAATCTCTCGTGAAATCATGGCGTGACTGCAGGACTTGAACACTTCATGGACTTTCTCCGATAGCGTGGGGATTTCATACAGTTTAAACTGCATGGCTACTTTAAACTCCTTGTCACCCTATTCAAAACGGTTGGGTTTGTGTAATAAGAAATACAAATCCTTTCCCTCCTAAACACCCACATCACATTTTCTAAATTATTTACATGATAAACTATAGCTTCAGAACTAGAGATGGTTAAAGGAATGCTTAATTTATAAAAGACACAAACCTGGCTCTCTGCAAAACAACTCTGTAGGGAAGCTGACACTATCGTATTCCCCCAAGGATCAGATTTCTGTGTATAGCCACACTGAGCCGCCAGGTGAGGTGAGAGAAGGACTGTATGCGTGTTATCTGAAACACCCAGAGGAGGTCTGAATTGATTCCTGGGTGTATTTAACTTATTGGCACACAAACAAATGGATAATTAACTTACTGACTGCATACACCTCTAAAGGACTTCCTGCACTCAAAGAACCGGGGAGGATAAACTGTACTCTATTTCCAAGACATTCAGCTTGGATTCCATCTGCAATCAAGAAATGTGTCCATTAAATAATGAATTACATGACTTGACACAAAACAGTTTAAACCAATAGCATGGCTTACCTTCGGAGGTATCAGCATGAATGCATATTATAGTGACCATTACCCATAAAGCCCTAAAAGAATCATAAATAAATCAACACATGATTAATTCAAACACACACATTTCCATAGCCTAAGACATACCCTATTTCAAAGCATTCCATTATTTAATATCTTTGTTAATGTATATCATGCAGAAACCATCAACCGTGTCTTCTACTAAAAAGGGCGACCTCAGCAACAGGTGATTAATGAACTGTCTCATGCGCGTTCCGTCTGATTGCACAGTATTGCGCACAGGTGAGGAACACAAACACCTCGCGCAGCTTCCTGCGCTCGATTACGGGACTCTCCGCCCAGCTAGGTGTGTACCTGGATTTGAAGGTTAACGGAAAACTGCGGGCTTTTGGTGCTTATGGCTATCATGCATTATTGATAAAGTGACTGTTTCTTTAGAGTTTTGCGTCAGTGCGGAAAGGCGCAAATGATTTGGAGCCGGGTGGGTAGGTGATATTTACTTGAATTTATGTTCGCTGTAAGTTTTCTCTCTTTTGCCATTTTTTTCTGATGTCTGATTGTAGTTATGACTCATAGAAAACACTGGGGTTAGATGTCACGTTGGCTGTATTTTAAAATGATTTTCAAAGGACTCTAATAACCGAATGTTTTTGAGTCATACATTCTTGGTTTCTCTAGCAGTAATTTAGAGTGTTTCGAACGTCTAGGAGGCATATTAGGACAATTCATGTGAATTCTGTCTTGCAAGCAAAATATAATATTTTTTCGCTATAGCTTTGGGGTAAATAAATGAACAATAAATCCGCAATTGAATATATTCAGGCAAGAGTAAACTATAATGAACTGTGTTCTCAAGACAAAGTATGTTTTTCTTTTTTTATATAAACATCAGGTTTCACTTAGTTTTACGTGTTGTCATTATTACTCTATTCTTTGCTGTTTCATTAATTGTTTTAGATACAGTTTAACTGCTGAAAAGCCACAAAAAGAGTATTTAAAAGTCTTTATGTATTTACCTTTTGTTTCATATTTACAAAAAGGTAACCTATTCTCAAATCAGTGTCAATAAAAAGTGTCTCCCCATGACTTTAAGGTAACCCAGAATATTAAACATAAGCAGTGCACATGTTGTCAAATATGTCTGTCAAATGCAGTGTTGCATTCTTTTTGAATAATGTCAATCTATATAGACCTACAGAATAAATAGGGTCACATGTTTAATCTGTAATTGTAGTAAGCTCAGAAGATATACACTCTGATGTTAAGTTTCAGTCTATGTTGTCTGAGAGGATCTGTTTACAGCAGTGACAGTACCCTGTTGAAAAAAAACTGCATATGCTGGTTAGGTATGTTTTGAAGAGCTCGGTCTCATGAAAATGCGTATAAATAGTACACCAAATAAAAACGAAAACTCGTGGTATTGATACGCAAAAATGGACTTTGGCGTGCATATGATACGCATGTGTTTGGCGTGCATATAATACCCGGTTTTTGCGTGCATAAGTTACGCAATTTGTTGGTGTGCATATGATACGCAGTTTTCGCCTACATATGATACGCATCTACCCCACAACCAGAGCCGTTTCTAGCCATAGGCGAGCTAGGCGGTCGCCTAGGGCGCCACCAGCTGAAGGGGCGCCAATGAGCGCACGTACTGACACTTTTAGTTTGTCGTGCATATTATACTCATGTGTTTGGCGTGCATATGATACGCATGTGTTTGGCGTGCATATAATACCCGGTTTTTGCGTGCATAAGTTACGCAATTTGTTGGTGTGCATATGATACGCAGTTTTCGCCTACATATGATACGCATCTACCCCACAACCAGAGCCGTTTCTAGCCATAGGCGAGCTAGGCGGTCGCCTAGGGCGCCACCAGCTGAAGGGGCGCCAATGAGCGCACGTACTGG